CCTATACATTTGGATTGCTTCCAGTTTGGGGTTATTATTAATAAGTGAAGTTGCTATAGACAGTGATGTAAAGTCTTTATGTGAACATGTGTTTCACTTCCCTTGGGTAAATATTAGGAGAGAAATGACTGAGTCGTATGGTAAGTATATGTTTCATTTTATTACAAACTACCAAACTGCTTCCAAAGTGATTGTCTCATTTTGGATTGCTACCAGCCACGTATGAGTGTAGTTCTTCATATCATTCCCAACTTTTGGTATGGTCAATTCATTATAGCCATCCTAATAATAACTCATTATTGTTTTAATTTTTTAACTTATCTGATAATGAATGATACTGAGCATCTTTTTACATGTTTATTGATCATTCACATATTTTCTTTGGGGAAGCGCCTGTTCAAATATTTGCCCATTTTTCTTGCTGGATTGTCCTGTGATTAAGTTGTAAGTATTCTTCCAGTAGTCTGGATATAAGTCCTTTGAAGCATATGTTAAAAATATTTTTCCCTGTTTGTATACCTAAGCCAGAATTGTATCCCATGTCTTTATAATTTAAAAAAGCAATTAAAATTACCAATCAACTGAAAAAAAATTCTTCCCATTCTATAGTTTGCTTTATAATTTTTATTATCAAAAAACAAAAGTTCTTTTGTTTTAATTTTGATGAAGTCCAATTTATCATTTCTTTTATGCCTCATGCATTTAATGTTCCAAGATATTTTTCCTATCCCAAGGTTACAAAGATATTTTATCTGCTTTCTTCAAGAAGTTTCATAGTCTTAGGTTTTACATTTAGGTTTATCACCTATATTCAGTTAATTTTTGTGTATCGTATGAGGTTAAGTGTCAACATTCATTTTTTTCCCAACTGCCCTGGATTAATAACCCTGGTTTCATAATTTACTGTAGACAATACAATGTAGGACTGCTGGAAAGATTAAAGCTCATTTATGTTAAATATTAGGTACATATTAGGCCCTGACTAATATTACAAATACTATGATTATCACATTAGAAAAACTACCCTAGGAGAAGAATAGAAAAGATGAGTAAAATTGTAAAAGTCAAATTGTGTACACATGGAAACTAGAAAGAGGGCCCTGGTCCCCAAAAATGTGTAAGTTGTTCGTGTATTTAACACCAACTCCCTCTATTTGCTGGGTTGGTATGTAAGTATAGAAGACATGCAGAAGGAAACCAGTATCTTCATAGGTTCAAATTCCACTTCAATTCACCCTTTTGATGTTTGAAATGAGACTTTCTAGTGGTTGGTACAAGTAGCTTAACTCTGAATTCTATTGAAGACTTAAACTTTGTGGTTTAAGAATCCAGAACATACTTCAAGAATTCTTTGTTGATACACATATTTCCAGAGAGTTATTACTTTAAAAGTAATGCAATTCATCAAATGGTTTTGCTGTATCAATAATAAAGGGATCTTAAGAACTCATATATATATAATGATTATATATTATATATATAATGATTATATATTATATGTATAATTATAAAGATGTGGGGTACAATACAGGACAGGATTAGGTATACAAACACTGATTATGCAGGTACCCTTGTTGATGACGTGTGAAGAACTCCTGAGAAATGGAGTCCAGTCCATATATTCCCTCCAATAAAATATTCATTGTTCAAGCCCATAAGGGTTTCACTCAAAAGTGAGTGATTCTATTCTCTCTGTGCTAAACATCAGCATGGGCTTCTTCCCAGCTTAGCTTTCAAATCTCCCCTGATATTTGCACAAAGACTTTCACTGGAGGCTCTCTCTGGGAAGCATGTTCTTCATCCCTCAGAAATTCCATACTCTTCCCCCATATCCAAAATTTAAAAATAGAGACCTTCTTTCCACAGCTACACTGATGCTTCCCCACATCCCTTTCAGAGACAGCAATTTTACTCTTCAGCAACTACCTGTCACTTCACTTCCAGTAATCACCATTTCCCAGACAAAAGTCAGGATAAGTCTAGGTGGGGAGACTGTGCTCTGCATGTTCTCTATTTGGGGCCCAAAACAAGCACAATCAAAACAAAGAGAAGAAAATCCAAAAATTCACAACATAAACTTTCTTGTCACAATGACCAATACAAAGTAATGAATGGAAAAGTCTAAGTTTGCCCAGTCGAAGACCACCAAAAGCACACACAGTTGGGTTTATTGTTCATGGAAATGAAGGAGACACACAACATGGGAACAATGTTCTCTCTCTGAACAATGCTCTCTCTCTCTCTCTGGCGTTAGAAGGGACTCTATTGAATTTGGGCTTGTGTTAAATGATTTGGGAGAGATTTTAAGGAAGTAGAGCTATCTTCTGTATTGGATATTGTCAAGAACAGGCAGTAATTATGTAACTGGAATAAAACATAGAAGGAATAAGTTGAGACTAAAGCTATCATTGGTAATGAAACAACAGTCATTCATGTTTCGTCAGGTGTCACGACTACAGAGTGGTCTTGTTTTTGTCTTGTTTTGTCTATCCATGGTATAGAGTGGCCGTTTCTGGGGTTGATGTTCTGTGAGACAGTTTTATGTTCCACAAGGGAACGCCAAGGCCTTTGAGCTCCATGGCAGCTCCTAGCAACAACAAGTCCTTGCTGATAGTGCAAAGTCAGTTCCTAGCTGTCATTTTTAACAGACAAAAGGAAGTATAGACCAAGGAATATAACCTAACCCAGGAGAACATGAATGACTTCCCTGAGGAACTGACATTTAAAACAAGAGCTTTAAGTTTAAAATGTCTTCTGTTGCCACAGTCCCAGAGGTTCATTTAGCCTTTCCTTCTGCTTTCTTCCACTCACCAAAACAATTTTTTCCTACAAATGAATTATACCTAGAAAGCATGAATCAAGTCTGGCTTCTCACACCATTCCCAACATTTTGTAAATGTGAGAACTCTCCCTGACTGTGGAGTTCCATGAGTAGCATGGAACTGGTTTTTTGGTTTTTTTATTTTTATTTTTGAATTGGAGTCTTACTCTGTCACCCAGGCTGGAGGTTGTGACACGCTGCTGGCCACCGCAGCCTCGACCTACTTGGCTTAGGCGATCCTTCCACCTCAGCCTGCCAAGTAGCTGGAACTACAGACCCATGTCACCACGCCCATCTAGTTTTTGTGATTTATTGTAGAGACAAAGTCTTACCTAGTTGCCCAGACTGGTCTTGAACCCCTGGGCTCAGGCAGTCCTCTCACCTTGGTTCCCCAAAGTGCTGGGATTATATGCATGAGCCACTGTGCCCGACCCAGCATGGAACTGTTAATAGTTCTTGTGAGAAAATCATAATCATAATACTAATTCAAATTAAAGGGGAGAGTAAATAAGTAATTCATATTTTAAAATGGAACCAAAAATGTTTACAGATATCAAAACTATTGAACAAGAAATAAAGTAATTTAATATTTCACTTAAAATTGTATTTCAGATAGAGAGTACAATATTCAAAAATGAAAGATTTGCTCTTCAAAGTTAGTGAGGTGAGTCTGATTGGTATCCAAAGAAAAGGTGAGAAAATAACATGTATCTTTTATTTTCCCTTATTTTAGTGCTTGGGGTTTAAATGAAAAATACAAGTTTACCCTACTGCAGAATTAATGAGCTCTTCTGCAAAACTCACTTGATGAACGTCCTTGCATTTCAAGATTTTCAAAAGACTTTAAGAGATTAGAGAAGGTAAAGCCTTGAACCAATGGGCTGAACATCCCACATACTGTAATACTGAATAATGGATTATTTAAATAGGATCCATCCATTATCTGGTAAAATGGAAGCATCTTTGTAAGAATTGATACTGCATCTCTACTGAAAAAGTGTACCCTGATCTGAAATTCAGACAGCCCATGAGGGAGGAACTGGAAGATTAGGCACTGAATAACTTGAGACATTTCTTACTACCTATGACTTGAGAGTTTGAATTCCAAACATTTTTATTTGAAGTATTTGGTGCTATGAGTAAACCACTGTAACAGTAAAACATGCTAATGTTGGATTCTGTATTTTCTATCATAAAAAGATGATTCAGTAGTATATATCTCAAACAAAACCATTTTTGTTATTTTAGTTATAAGTTTGGATTCAATTTTTACTAATATATATTGAGAGCCCCCTATTTTATCAGACATTGTGCTGAATGCTTTCACTTCACTATCATGCAACCATGTGGTAGAATAAGTATTAATACTCCTGGTTTTTTGAAGGACAGTTAATAAGGATCTATATTCTTCTATCTAACGTTTAGTAAAACAAAGTCCTGATGATGGTGAGAAGTCCAACATACAAAATAGCACGGGAATCTCATCTTCGACCAAGAGACAATCTTAAAAGTATAGTTAATTTAGATTCAGAAATATTGCAAATGAATTGAAGATCCAAGCACGTAAGTCCACTTAGTAGATCTCTTTTACAGATAAGGAATTTGAATACAATTTGAATGCACATCCATTTTATATGCACTCATAAAAATGCCTGTATAATTACAGGGTACCAACTCCAGCACATAGCATTTAAGAACTAGCATGAGAATGCAGGAGCTAATTACTCTCTAGGATACTAAAGGGCTCAAAGGGCCTGGTAATCTAATTCCCTCCCACTAAAGTATGCAGTAGTGGGTGTTTCAAAGTTAAAACACTCTAGATTTCACATTTCTTTCATACTGCTAAATATTTGCCAACCTATCTTTTACAATCAGACATATTTTTAAAGCTTGTAAATTCTACTAATTAAAAATGATACAAGCCAGTTGAAAGAGCAACCTCAGTAGCAGCAGAACAGGAGAAATTGGCTACCAAGAGAGCCACACTGGGTCAGGAACCTCTGAAAGTTTCTATTTTCGTTTATCCACTGCTTTATTTTGTATATTTAAAAGTAATGCTACTGCACTCCAGTCTGGGTGGCAGAGTGGGACTCCAAATCAAAAAAAAAGTAAATGAGTTGAATATTTCTGTTTTTATAAGTAATTATTTTGCTTTCTACAAAAAAAAAAGAAACACACATTCATTTTAACCATTTTATTGCGATGTATAGCTAACAAAATGTCAGGTACTATTAGCTGTTATCTAACATACCAAACATAAACAAACAGCGAAGCAGGCTCAAGACTCTCACCCGTTCTGGAAAAGAGAGGAACACGACGGTAACCTGCAAAAAGAATCATATCCAATTAGATCAATAAAAATAAATTAATCGGTGCTCCTCAACAGTGCTACTGGGAAAGAAGATATCTTTACTAAGCATACATTGAAAATCAAACTGTAGAATTATATCGACAACTTGTGCATCAATCTTCCACAAAAATTAAGTATTTGCATTTTCTATTCTGACTTCCTACCATCTGACTTACTACACTGAGCACACAGCTCATGCTTCTCCTCCCTCAAAGCACAACATGCTCCAAAATTAGCCACCACCCTTCTGCTCCAAGAAGACCCTGTTTCCTAGGCCCATCTCAGATGCTGTTAGAAAAATAAACACTTTGAGAAAAGGTAATTGGGAGCACAGTATAAATCACTCTCAAAAGGTGACTCTGCACAGAAAGGCAGTCAACCCTCTGAAAGGGTTCAGGAAAGGATAGCGTCAGACTCCCAGTCACTTATTCTCAGTCAGGAAGAATGAGTCACTGCTTCTCCCTTCTGGCTGCTTCCCATCCTCATTGCACTTTGGTAGTCATGACTATTCTTCACTGAAACAGAAGAACTATGATCCATGTAAAAAATGCTTACAAATATGCCAAGTTTGTCTAATTAGTCTTCCTAGCCATCCCACATCTTTACCCCACCTTCCACATGAGTCTATATTTCTGTAATTCCACAGAAAAAAAAGTGTCAATACATAAAATTTCCTTTACAATCTACTTTTATGGATACAGCTATCTAGTATACCAAAAAGTGTCTTTGAAATAAACAAATTATATTTAAATGTTAGCACAGTCATCTAACATTTAGGAATATTACCTTTGTTCATGCAAAGAAGTGGTAAAGTATATTGCCCGAGAAATTCATTTCCTCCTATTAAGGCTTGATTTTCAACAACAAAACGTATCAATGCCAATTCTGGTACTTGAATAATAAATGTAAATGTTTCATTCCATCTTGGATTGAAAGCTGAAATATTACAAAAAAGAAACACAAAGATTCATAGACACCATATTTAGTGAAAAATAGATGCTACCTATTCTCTAGACTTTCAACACCTTAACAACAATAGTAGCTTGTGTTTTAGAGCACTTAAATTTTTAATGTACCCAATGAGAGAGGAATAATGACAATAAACACAATACTGTGTGTTTACTATTGCTGGTTAATGTTCTAAAAACTTCAAATAGATCATCTCAATTAATCCTCATGACAATCCTGTCATGGTTATTACGGTCCCCATTTATAAATGAGAAAACTGAGCTACAAAGATGTTACATACTTTCCTAAGGAGTTCATTAAGTGGCAGAACAGGAATTCAAACACAGGGAGTCTGATTTCAGAGCAGAAAATTTTAATCATTATATAATATGACTGATGTGCTTAGGTAATTCCTTAGCAAACAAATTGAGACATGAAGAAGTTATATAACATCATTATTTTATACCTGGTCCAATTATGAGGAAAAACTCCATACATAGTTGTTGGACTGAAAGCTAGATAATGAGTTCTCTATAGCCAACTCTTGATCCTTCTTTTGACTAAGTGCTCACTTCAAACTCTAAAGTACATACATATTTCGATCGCTGGAAAAATAAATCATCCCAAACAACCAATCTCTTGCCAAACAAGAAATCCTAATTCTGTCACAATATGATCCAGATTATCCAAAATGTAAGGTATAATTTTATGAAATTAAAAAACTCACCTCAATAGATTAAGTGCATGCTCTACTTAATAAAGACTCAATAGTTTGGAGAGGAATAATATGCATTGTTTTCCTATACAAAGACAATTTTACATTTGCTATGTCAATAGATTTTGTTATTTGAGTTTCAATTTCAGAAGCATTGATGAATTTGTGAGTAATTATACTATATCTATGCTTTCTATGGTGCACCTATGGTCACAAGAGCACTTACACATGACAATTCAGGATGTAGTCTATGCCCATGGAAACAGTAAGTTAATTGGTTCATGCTGGAATAATGACTGTATTACCTTGACCTAAGAAGAGAAATAATTCCATGGGGGTCTAGGGGCAGGTTTAGACTTAAATCTTTATGGACACTGCAAAACATCTACAGAAAAATTTTATACTAATTTATTCTTCTTCCTTCAACTCTACCTCAGTACATATGCCCTTTCTCCCTCTATAGCTCTAAAATCTGTTTTTCTCTTCCCCTCCCTTCCTTCCTCTCTTCTACTTTCTCTCCCTCCTTCCCCACTTTCTCCTTATCCTCTCCTCTCCTCTCTCTCTCTCTCTCTCTCTCTCACACACACACACGCACACACACACACACATAGACACAATATAATGGGTTAATTATAGGAGAAAGTCCTAACTTTTAGTTGTCAAAGTAAAAAAAAAAAGTAAGCCAAGATATTAAATTTGATAGTGATGAATACAATTTTCCCAGTTATGACCAAAACTGAAAAATTACTTCCTCACTTTATCCAAATGTGATCTTTTTCCTTCCATACTCTCATGTCTTTAATTATATTAAAACTATCTTCAAATCATGAAATTCATCTTATCCAGCTAGCTAGATGCTTACTCCGGCTCAGTGTTTCTCACATACATCTCCTATTCTTTTCAGATGCCACAGCTTCCTTAACAACCTGACTTACATCCTCTAACTATTAAAATTATATCCTGACTTAACTTCATATTTCTCATTTTCTTCTCATACCCTGCTTCCTACTCAGTCTGCAGAAACAATCTGCCTAAGGCTCAGTGATATTAGTGTTATATCACTTTTTCTTTTTTCTTTCTTTCTTTTTTTTTTTTTTGAATTGGAATCTCACTTTGTCGCCCAGGCCGGAGTCTTAATTTTATTCATTTTCTAGAGAAGAGTTCCTAACACCTTAGCATGGTTTCAAGATTTTTCCATGACCATCTCCAGTATTAACTTTCTCATTTTATCTCTCACTAATCTTTCTTTAAGCACCCTATATTCCAACCATGTTGAGTTTCTTGGCTTTACCCAGCATGTTTAAATTGTGTCTTCTTCATGTTGTAGGACTCATATTATTCTTTCTACTTTAAATGTCCTTGTCTTCAATCTCCATAAAAAATTCTATGTATTCTCCCAGAGCCAGTTCCAAATGTGCCTCTTCCAGGGCAGTTCTTTATGTTCTCCAGAAACACTGACTCATCATAATAGTTTTACCAGTATCTTGTCTCTCATACAGAATTGTAAACTATCTACAACAGAGTTAATTAAGACATACATAATAATATATTAATATTTAATAAATAGAGACTAAGTCTTATGATATTCAGCATGAGGCTTTTAGCATAACAGAGACTCAGTGATGTTTGATGAAGCAACTGAATTTCTGCAAGGATATTCCCATAAATCTCAAAGATATAATTAAAATTCTAGAATCTTAGTATTATATGGAATACGTTGAATAAAATAAGGTTCTAAGCATTTTGCAGTGAAGGTCCAAGTAGAAGATGGAAGCAACAAGAGACAGATTACTGTAAGTTTCTTGACATCATCAGTTACTATTTCTTTACGCTGCCAATGAATGTGCCTTCAACTCCATGGCGTGCTAAATGGAGCAGGAAGCCATCACCAATATCTTTTCTCATTGATAATATGAGATGTGGCAGCAAAAATTTCCCAAATCCTTTTTTCCATGCCTTTTACTCTAGAGGTCATGATGTGAGAGTATTCAGGAGCATACAAGAGATAAAAACTGTGGACATTGTTAGAAATTAGCATCCAAGAGTAAAGAGATTAATAAAACTGCACCTCCCTCTGCTATAGCCATTTATCCTGGAGCATATTTCCACACTCTTAAATGAAGTCCTTTATACTTTGGGAATATCCACTCAAAGACACCAGACTGAAGGATCAGTTCCAAGACCTCCTCCAAGGTGATTCCGACTAGGGATAAATCTCAGAAACCCGCTCACCTCTGATGTCCTTAGTGATTTCAATATCAGAAAAGACAGGGCAATGCCAGTAGTGTATTAAACAGCTGTCATAGCATGTCAGAACACTGAAAAAAATTTTTTCTTTTTAAATTTTTTTATTTTATAGATTTGGGGTACAATTCAGGGTCAGGTACATAAGTGGTCATCATACAAGTAAAGTTTGGGTCTTTCCTTGGCCCTCATTTTGTCTGGTTTAAGATCAGGTATCCTAGTTTTTTTTTTTGCCTCTTTTAATTTTTATTTTTAAATTGTGGTGTACAATTCAGGGTTAGGTATACAAATATTCATTGTGCAGGTGTGCTCCCTGAGGTGTGCTCCCCCTTCCCCAGGCAGATATCAACAACTGTCAATCCCACACCCCCCCTCCACACACACACACCCCAGCAGTTTCCCACTACTGTCAAACCTTTTCTTATAGTTACAGTAGTTGTTCAAGGTTCACTTATGAGTGAGAACATGTGATACTCAGCTCTTTGTTTCTGTGAGCGATCACTCAGTATTATAAACTCTAATTCCATCCAGGTTGCTGTGAAGTTCATGATTTTATTCTTCTTTATGACTGTGCAATATTCCATTGTGTATATGTACATCTTTTTTATCCAGTCCTCTTTTGATGGGCAGCACAATTGGTTCCATGTTCTTGCTATTATGAACAACGCTGCAATAAACATACGTGTGCAGGTATCTTTTTTATAGAGTGATTTGAGTTCCTCTGGGTATATTCCCAGTAGGGGGATTGCGGGGTCATATGGAAGGTCAATTTTTATAAGTTTTAGGATCTGTTGGCTGCTTATATGTCTTCTTTTGATAAGTGTCTATTCATATCTTTTGCCCACTTTGTAATAGAGCTGTTTGTTTTTTTCTTTTCATCACATTTGAATTCCTTGTAGATCCTTGATGTTAGGCCTTTGTCAGACATGGAGTTGGCAAATATCTTTTCCCATTCTGTGGGCTGTCTCCCTGCTCTCTTGATGGTTTCTTTGACTTTACAGAAGCTTGTCAGTTTGATGAGGTCCCACTTATCTATCTTATCTCTTACGACCTGGGCACTTCAGGTTTTGATCAGGAATTGGTTGCCAGTTCCAACTCCTGTAAGTGTCTCCTGAATTTTCTAAGGTTCTTACAGTTTGAGGTTTTATATTTAGTTCTGTGATCCATTTAGTTAATTTTTGATATGGGGATAGGTAAAGGTCCTATTTCAATCTTCTACATGTGGTCAACCAGTTTTCCCAGCACCATTTACTGAATAGGTTCTCTACTCCCCAGTAGTAGGTGGTGGAGGCTTTGTCGAAGATGAATTAGTTGAGAAATTGAGGTTTTACTTCTGGAATCTCAATTCTATTCCATTGGTCTATATGCCTGCTCTTGTACCAATTCCAGTCTGTTTTGATTATTATAGCTTTATAATAAAGTTTAAAGTCTAGGAGTGTGATACCTCCTGCTTTGTTTTTTTGGCTCTGAGTATTGTTTTGGCTATTCTTGGCTGTTTATGTTTCCATATGAATTCCTGTGTTGTTTTTTCTAGGTCTGAGAAGAATGTTGCTGGTAATTTGATGGGTATGGAGTTAAATCTGTAGATTGCCTTAGGTAAAATGGACATCTTAACAATCCTTTTTCTTCCAGTTCATGAGCATGGAATATTTTTCCACTTGTTTGTGTCATCTTTGATTTCTTTGAGCAGTGTTTTGTAGTTTTCATTGTAAAGGTCTTTCATATCTCTGGTTAGGAAGATGCCAAGGTATTTCATTTTTTTGTGGCTATTGTGAGTGGAATTGTACTTTTAATTGGGTTACTGTTTGTTTATTATTGGTGTATAGAAATGCGATTGTTTTTTGCACATTTATTTTATACCCTGAGACTTTGCCAAAGTCTTTTATCAGTGCAAGGAGGTTTTTTGACAGATTCGTTTGGGTTTTCAAGACATACAATCATGTCATCTGCAAAAAGAGATAACTTGACTTCCTCTCTTCCTATTTGGATACCTGATCACCTTCTCTTCTCTGATTGCACTAGCTAGGAC